ATATGCCAAATACCAGTAGCAATGATGGGTCTCATTTTCCTAACCCTGAAAAAGCCTTGAATATGGCACTTTTTAAAATCTCAGGGCTAGGACGAAGGAGACGTTACTGGTGCCTGCTCGAGGCAATCGACAAACAACAGGATGATCGTGATCATGACTGTGATTTTATTGGGCTTGGGGATCTACATGTGGGTGCCCCCAGCTCAGTGCTCTGGGGTCACCCTTGCTCTTGCTCTAGGAACTACACAATTACTGAGGACTAAACCTGGACATACAAAGGAGGGGGACCAGCCCCAAGGGACATCCTCCAGGCCCTGAGCTAGTGTTTCTTTTCCTTTTATGGTTTTTGGGCCATACCTGGCAGTACTCAGAGCTTACTCCTGGCTTGGTGCTCAGGGATCACTCCCAATCAAGACTCAGGGGACTTTATGGGGATGCTGGGATTGGAATCCAGGTCAGCTGCAGGCAAGACAAGTGCCTTACCCCCTGGGCTATTACTCCAGCCCCTGATTTGGGGTTGTGACCTTCTAAACGGCAAAATAAAATGATGGACTTGTTGTTGTTTCTGTTTGATAAGTCATTAAGATTGTCAAGATTCAAGGAGAGTAAGAGGGATTGTGCCTGCCACAGAGGCAGGGGGTGGAACGAGGTGGGGATGGCGGAAGGGATCATTGGTGGTGGAGAATGGGCACTGGTGGAGGGATGGGTGCTCGATCATGGTATGACTGAAATGTAATCATGAAAGTTTGTAAGTCTGTAACTGTATCTCACGGTGATTCATTAAAATAACATAAAAAGAAAAATAAATCTCAATGTGCAAAAAAAAAACACCCAGAAAATAAAAAGCAATCTGAAAGATATTTTAAAATTGCTAAAGTGACTTATCTATTGAGTATAGAGAAACACCATGGGCAAGTAAACAAGCAAAGAAGGAGTGATTAAAAAGCAAGATAGCAGTTACTTTGGGAAGAAACAGGAGTCAGAAATTGAAATCTGACAGGTGAACGGGCTCCCGGTGTAGCTGGCAAAGACCGATTTTTTAACTTGACTGATGATGAATATTGGCCCTAAAATACTCATTAAGCCACCTCTTTATGGGGTTTTCTGCAACTGTTTTACAATAACATCATAAAAGAACTGTAGCTCATTGATCAAAATCAATAAATCAGCGTTAATATATATAAAAAAGAAAAGATTGTCAAGATTCATAACAGTATCCAAAGGCAGCCAAGCTGAGCTGGGATCAACATCCCAACACCCCACCCCGAGGTTATGGTCATGAGCTCTGAGCAGCCACCAACCCAGCCAGGACAACACTCATTTTCTCCGCCTCCGCAGGACCGAGCATCTTAGTTTAAGGTTGAAGGCTGGCCTTCAGGGAAAGAGAGGTTGCCTTGGCAACCACATCACAACAAACAAAACAGGGAGCAGACCGAGCTGCCGACTAAGCCTAGAACTGCAGTTCCAAGGCTAAACTCAGAGAGCCCCAGGGGCAGGAGGCCAGGCTTCGCATGTGGGAGCCCCGGGTTCAACCCCCACAAAACCAACTTGGTCCGGGAGTACCGCCAGGAGTGAACCCAGAGCACTAAGCGGGGAGTCGCTCCTGAGCACCACCTGTATGCCAACAAGATGAAACAAAACGAAGAGATCGGCCTGAGCCGAAGACAGGGTGAGGGAACTGGTGTCAGGTGTGGCTGACACTGGTTCAATCCCTGGCACTGCATGGTGTCCTGAGCATGACCAGGAGCGACCCCCAAGCACTGAGCTAGGAACAGCCCCTCATCACTGCCAGGGGAATGCGCCCCAAAACCAAATCAAATAAAGGACCACAGTGACCAGCAGCGCCCAGCAGCCCTGTGGTCTGGGCACCACACACAGTGGCCCAGTTCATGCCCTCGAGCACAACACTCACAGTTCTTAGGCGCTGGCGGGGAAGGTTCTTCATCTCTCATCGATTAAGAAGCGAATCAATAAAATGCCCCTATTCCGCTCTATTTCCCGCTGCAGTCCGAGTCCCTGGCTCTCTGGCCCCATCAATAACCTTATTAAATTAGACATTTGGGTCACCGGCAGGACGGCCACGTCGTTCGGCCACGGAGCCTCAGGCAATGCTGAGCCGAGATCACCAAGGGGGTGCAGAGGGCGGCCCTCCCGGCGGAGGAGTCGGGTGGGTGGAGGCAAGGCAGGGACATGGGACTGGACGAGACACCATCCATGCGAATCCAAACCATTGCATGGCTTCTCAGCCCTGCAGTTCACCCTGTCTCCATCCTGCGGAAATAAAACTCGACACAGTGCTTCTCACTGCAAAGCTGCACACACACACTTGGATGGACCTGAGGATCCCCTTTCTACTGAAATTGATCCCCAAGACCCTTGAATGTGTCCCATTCCAGGGGCTGGAGCCGGTCACACAGTGGGGAGGGTGTTTGCTTTGAAAGTGCCTAACCTGGGTTCAATCTCCGGTACCCCTGAGCCTGGCAGGCGTGATCCCAGGACCACATGTCTGGGACTGGACAGGGGTTGGCCAGGTCACTACAGGGCCCCAGGGCTGCCTCATGTGGCCACCCCTCCCCCATCCTCCTCTCTGCCCCCCCCCTCACCCCCCCGCCAGGGTCACCTCAGCTTCTCTTCCCTTCCCGGGGAAATGTCACCATTTAGGGTTGTACCCTGCCAATCTTTCCTCTTAGGTCTCAGGAGATGCCTGTCACAGTCCGATCCAAACATGGGCAAGGGGCTCAGGGCATCCTTTATGGGCGTCCCCAGGATACAATGACAGGTCTCAAGACACGAGTAGACAGAGGCAATCTAACCAGACATTGAGGCAGAACGAGGAAGAAGAAATCTCTTCTCTACGGGGACTGGTGAGGATAAGTTCAAATAAACGCATCCTTTGAGCAGAAAGAGCTGGACTGGCAGAAACTATGGCAGAGAAGAGTTGAACAAAGCCTTGGTGAGAGACGCAGCTCCAGTTACAATAGCATTAGAGCACCTGGATCGAGCCCTGCCTGAAGCGCATGTATTGAACTTAAAGGTTTGCTCGGTTCCCCCATCCCAACGATGTCAACCTCCATTTGTGTTCATCACTGGGATTCAAGTGATCAACACAAATCAGGAATTCATGGCACCGCACTCCCGGGTGCCAAACAAGCCACCTTGTCAAGTCACTGACAAACATGACTTGACATAATGAAAAAACTCCAACTCTGGAGCCCAATACGGAGCCCAACCTTTGACTGGCCTGGCAGGGTCTGGCGGTTCGTGACAAGCTCCTGGGCCTGGGCCTCGTCTGGGACCCACATTAGAGGGTCACTGTGGCATCAGGATGATGCCCTAGCACGCAGCAGGGCTGGATTACCCATCACTCACTAGCTGCATTATTGTTGCTATGGTCACATGATTATTAGTCCCACCCAGCCCCTGTCAAAAACCAGATTTTTCATGTGCAGACCCTCTCTTAGCCTGGGGGGCTCTTGGTCTGCTTCTAGAAGGGCTTGTCCACCCTCTCCAAGCTGCATTTCCGGATCACCATCTCCCCTTCCTCCCTCAGATCCCTTCATCCACATCCATGGCACCGAGTCCTCGGTCTGTCCATGTGCTTCGATGCCGAGACCTTAACTGTGGGGGGGGGGGTCTGTGAGACCAGGCCCCTTGGCAAGAATGTGACCCAAGGTCCCAATCCCCCCACTCCCCTTCATGCTCAGAGTCCCACCTTCTTTATATCGCATCCACCTAACTCGGGGATGAATCTCAGAAAATGGAGTGAAACTCCTAATTAAAAGGTGGCCATGAGTCGTTGATAAAGTAACACAGGAAGAAAACGTCTTAAAACACAGCCCTGACTTCCTTGAGACAGTTTCACTGGAAATCTTTGCTCTCCCACCGCCCTCCACCGCCACATACACACACACAACCTCTCGAATCAAGTTCGGAGAGTAAGTAAAGAAAAAGCACGCTCTCCATCCTCCAGAGGCTTCCGGAACCCTTTGGGAGATGCTAAAACATGGCAGTACATTTGAAATCACTGGCTGGGTGAAGGCTCTTGTCTTTTTGAACTAATTTCTGAAAATATCAGGGAAAAACTTTTTTTTTTTTTTTTGCTTTTTGGGTCACACTCGGCAATGCACAGGGGTTACTCCTGGCTCATGCACTCAGGAATGACTCCTGGCGGTGCACAGGGGACCCTATGGGATGCTGGGAATTGAACCCGGGTCGGCAGCATGCAAGGCAAAAGTCCTACCCGCTGTGCTATCGCTCCAGCCCCCGGAAGAACTTTTTATTATTATTACTTGTTTTTTTGGGGGGTGGCATGGGTAATCCCTTTATTGCCTGCCTGAAAAAAAAGTAGGCCAGGATGCTGGATCACCCCCAAATCCAGCCTGGCCTGACAGCCCTTACTGCCCCCCCATGGTACCAGAACCCTCCCCCCCCACCCCCCCCCCCACACACACACAAGGAAATGGTTCTCAGAATCGTACGCAACCCCCTCGGTGTCCTTGCTATGCAGAGATGATCCAGCTCTGGGATCCCCAAATCTACGGCACTTGGTTCTCCCAGATGCCCAATGACAGCCCAGCCAAGGACCACAGATGCTTGAGTGCATGCCTCAACCAAGGGAGGAAGGATGGAGGCAGCATCTCTGAGCAGCCTTGCATGGCTCCCCCATGCCTGACCTTCCCTTGCCATCAACTCAGTGTCAGGCTGGCCCAGTTGCCTTTTGACCTTTCTCGATGTGACTCCCCGCCGCCACCCATATCCAGGAGCGCCCCGCTGGGCTTTGATTCTCCCTTGTTCTCCTTCGTGTCATTTGACCGCTTCCAACCACGTGTGGAAAGGCTCCGCGAGAGTTTCCGGGCAGGAATGGGCATCAATTATCCGATGACTCTCCCAAATGCCAAACAGGTGCCTGAGGTTTTTCCCAGCCCACCTCCCCAGCCCACCCCCCTGTGAGGAGGGCCACACTCTCCTCCAGCCCCCTGGTCCCCCGGCCCCGTGCTTACCTTCGAAGCTCCCAGCAAACAGGTAAACCCAGGTGATGGCTGGGATGCAGAGGAGTGTCAGCGAGGCAGCCAGGAATTTCCGTCTCCCTCTGCAGAATCCCAGCATCCTCTCGGAAATGGCCAGCCCTAGTCGCAGCGCCGTGTCTCTGCCCGGTGCACCGAGTCCTCGGCCTCCCTCATAATACTTCCTGGAAAGAAGAGCAGAGGAGCAGGGCTGAGCTCTGAATACTGCCGAGACAGAGCCCATGAATCCTGCGAGTCGTTTGTTAACCTTATGTCCCAAGAGAGGCTGCTGCTGACTTTCAGTCTATTCAGATGAGATGCTTCCTTCTTTCTTTTCTTTTCTTTTTTTCCCTGCTTTTTGGGTGGGCTGAAGCTATGCCTTGCAGCATGGACCTGCCCAGCCGACCTGGCTTCAATTCCTCGGCCCCTCTCGGAGAGCCTGGCAAGCTACCGAGAGTACCTCGCCCTCATGGCAAATACTGGCAAGCTCCCCGTGACATATTTGATATGCCAGAAACAGCAACCATGAGTCTCACAAATTGTTGTGAGATGTTACTGGTGCCCGTTCGAGCAAATTGATGAACGGGAGGACAATGCTACAGTGCTACTGGGCTACAGTGCTTTTTGGGTCACACCTGGCGATGCTCAGGGGTTACTCCTGGCTCTGCACTCAGGAATTACTCCTGGCGGTGCACAGGGGACCATATGGGATACTGGGAATCGAACCCGGGTCGGCCGCGTGCAAGGCAAATGCCCTACCTGCTGTGCTATCACTCCAGCCCCTCTTTCTTTTCTTTTTTGGTCTTGGTGGGGAGGGGCTACACCCAGCAATGCTCAGGGACTATTCCAAAGGGAAAAAAATTTTTTTTAACCTGAATCACCATGATAAAACATTACAAAAGTGTTCATGATTGGGCTTCAGTCATACAATGTTCTAACACCCATCCCTCCACGAGTGCACCCAATGTCCCCAGGCTTTCTCCTGCCACCCTCTAATTCCCCCTGACCACACCACACACACAGTCTAACTTTCTCTCTCTCTCTCTCTCTCTCTCTCTCTCTCTCTCTCTCTCTCTCTCTCTCTCTCCCCCGCGCCCCCCCCCCCACGCCCTCTCCTTTTGGGCATTGTGCTTGGCAAAACAGGTACTGAAAGGTTATCGTGCATATCCCTTTACTTGCTTTCAAGACTCAGTTCTTATCTGGCGTTTTTTTCATTTCCCACTATTATTGTCATCCTGGTGGTGGACCTTATTTGGTGTTGAGAATCAAACCAGCACCTGCTTCTTGCCCCATTTACCTGCTATACATTGTGTCTGGCCACGAGAGATCTTTAAAGACAGGAATCTGGGGCGGGAGAGATAGTACAGTGGGTAGGGCCTTGCTTTGCACATAGCAAACCCATGTTTGATCCCTGGCACCTGATACAGTCCCCCAAGCACCGCCAGGAGTAACCCCTGAGTGTACAGTCCAGAGTAAATCCTGAGCACTGCTGGGTGTGCCCACCACCAGAAGTAAAAAGGGCTGGAGCAATAGCACAGCGGGTAGGGCATTTGCCTTGCACTCAGTTGATCGGGGTTTGATTCCCAGTATACCATATGGTCCCCCGATCACCAGCAGAAGTAATTCCTGAGTGAAGAGCCAGGAGTAAGCCCTGAACATTGCTGGGTGTGACCCCCCAAAAAAATGAAACATAAAAGCAAGGATTCGGAGAGACAGCTCAGGGATGCTGGTTTCTGACATCACAGGGTCCCGAGAAAACCCCTGAACACTGCAAAGCTCAGCAGTGAACATTCTGACCTGGTCACAGAAGTGGCCCCAAGGCCATTGGAGCACAGCTAGGGAGGCATCTCAATTTTTTTTTTCCTACTTGGGTCACACCTGGCGATGCACAGGGGTTACTCCTGGCTCTGCACTCAGGAATTCCTCCTGGTGGTGCTCAGGGGATGATATGGGATGCTGGGAATTGAACCCGGATTGGCCGCGTGCAAGGCAAACGCCCTACCCGCTGTGCTATCGTTCCAGCCCTGTCATCTCATTTTTTTAAAATTAAAATATTGAAAATATAATTTAGAAACACCCCACAGCTTTCTCTGAATCTCTCTGGCAACAGCGGAAGACACTCCCGGGCCGAGGGGCAACATACACGAAGGGAAGGTCACAAGACTAGTCGCGGTGGCCTCTGCATCGGCTCCTAGGGGCTGAAACCCCAGAAACGGGCCAGTAACGGGCGCTAGGGATGGTCTGGAAGATGCCACAGCAGCAAGAGAATCAAAAGTCCCGAGCACACGCACAGGCAGCCCCCAGCCAGCAGGGGGCGCTCCCGCGCCCCCAGGACCAGCAAGCATCGCCAAGTAGAGGAAGAAGGTTACTATGGTGACTAGATGTAGCTGGTCCAGGATCTCCCCAGGGGGCAGTGGGCCAACAGGTGAGAGATTCAGCAAAGAACTGAGGAACCCACAGCCCATGCCTTGGCCTCTCCACCCACTGCCGTGGCGGTGGGGAGAGAGAGAGGGATCACGGGAAGGGGGGTCACACTCAGCGATGCACAGAGGTTACCCCTGTATCTGCAGTTGCAAAAGCTACGGGTGGGACAGGCTGGGAAAGGGGCAGCGCCGGCTCACATCAGCCCCTGGCCAGGTCCCCTCCCCGCCAGCCCCACCACTCTGTGGGGTTCACCCTGCCTCCTCGCAGACCCATCTCCGAGGTCCAGACCAAGAGGCTTTCTCTTCCAGCCCCTGGACAGGATGTTCCCGACTGGACCCCTCTTGAAGACAGATGAAAGATGGAGGGGCTAGAGCCCAAGAAGGAGAAAGTCAGACCGAAAACTGCTGAATCCCTTTATTTCTTTATTATTTTATTATTATCTTTTTTATTATGATTATCTCTCCTGATATAGTATTTATTTATCTATCCCTCCATCCCTTCCTATTTTCCTTACTGTCTTTCTAGTCAACTTTCTCTTGTTTACATTTTTCTCTTCTCTATAACTTTCCCTTTATTCTTTTTACTCTCCATTTCTTTCCTTCTTATCTTCTCTATTTCTATTCTCTCCTACTTCTTTACTACCTCCATTCCTTTCTCCTTTCTTTCCTTTCTACTTCATTCCTTCCATCCACCTAACTTTACTTTCTATTTTACATAGGAAATTTTGAGAATCACAGATAGTTTTGTCTAGAGGTACAAATTTAGCATCAGAAAAAGTAGAGCATCTCCAGGGTAATATATTAATATACCTTTTTTCTCAGAAAATGTTTATCATTATAGTTACAAATAAAGGCTGATCAATAGAAGTTACTAATTTTGATTGCCAACTATTTTTATTCATCTACCTTGCAGGTACAGCTGGTAGGGCGTTTGCCAAGCCTACTCAGATTGGGAGTTGGCCTTCTCCAACCAGACCCACCATCTTCCAGTAGGTAGGCGTCACACCCACCAGCTGCCGCCAGCGCCAGGTTGGTCCCATCAACGGCCAAGACACAGAGACTATAAAACCCAGATCCCGGAAGTGCGTGACCACATTTGCAGCCGTGCAACATCTTATTATCTTATTTTTCCTTTGGAGAACCTGGCAGGCTACCAAAAGTATCCTGCCTGCACGGCAGAGTCTGGCAAACTTCCCGTGTCGTATTCAATATGCCAAATACCAGTAACAATGATGGGTCTCATTCTCCTAATCCTGAAAGAGCACTGAAATGGCTCTTTTAAATCTCAGGGCTATGAAGAAGGAGACGTTACTGGTGCCTGCTCGAGGCAATCGACGAACAATAGGATGATCGTGATCGTGATCGTGATTGTTATGAAAAACCGCTGAAAATGCTACCCCAAAAAAAAAGTATCCATAGAGGAAACAGTGTGAAGATTGTCCTATTTTGGCCTGGGTCATTAAGACATTCTTTAGGATATCACTAACATGCTGTTAAAGGCTGAGAGATGTAAGTTTTTGTATATATATATATATATATATCTGATAATATGTATATATGCATATATAGCACTGTAGCACTGTCCTCCCATTGTTCATCGATTTGCTCGAGCGGCACCATTGTGAAATTTCTTGTTACTGTTTTTGGCATATTTTATATTCCATGGGGAGCTTGCCAGGCTCTGCCGTGAGGGTGCATATAGTGTGTGTATATCACTGTCACTGTCCTCCCGTGGTTCATCGATTTGCTCGAGCGGGCCCAGTAACGTCTTCATTGTGAGACTTCTTGTTACTGTGTTTGGCATACTGAATACTCTCGGTAGCTTGTCGGGCTCTCCGAGAGGGGCGGAGGAATCGAATTTGGCTCTGCTGGGCTGGCTGCATGCAAGGCAAACACCCTACCGCTGTGCTATCTCTATGACTTGTTGCCTACCATTTGAACCCCATAAAATGTGGTGTGGTACTTATGAAAAATGGGTAGGAGTGTCTTATACTGTGTCACTTGGCCTCATATTGCGGTCAAAGAATATGTTCACTCTTACGTGAGGCTCGCCCGAGCCCTCACCACTCTGGCTCCAGCGACTCTGCAGAATCCCTTTAATTAATTAATTAATTAATTTGTTTGCTTTTTGGGTCACACCCGGCGATGCACAGGGGTTACTCCTGGCTCACGCACACAGGAATTACTCCTGGCGGTGCTCAAGGGACCATATGGGATGCTGCTCAAGGGGAGCAGCCTTGAGCGTGGCGGCCGTTGGGTTCGCTGCCCAGGCTGGGTCCCTTGGGGCGGGGAGGGCTCTCACCCGCCCCCCTCTGGGGCGCCCCAAGTGAAACAGCCTGGTGCGGAGTCCGGTGGCATGGTTATGGTGGAGGTCATGTTCCTCCCTTCCGGTAGAAAAAGCCATGTGATCTGGATGGTGGCCGATGTAGAGATTATCTGGCGCCGGCAGGAGGTACTGCCTGCTTTTATTTTTTTGCTTTGTAAAGGGAGGGTTCTCTGAGAAGGCCAGTACAGAGATTGGCCTGGGGTCACTGGCATGGAGAGGGAAGAACTTCGGTTCTAGCTCTGCTCTCCCGCCTGGTGGGAGAAGACCCCTCACCACTCTGGCTCCAGTGTCTCTGCAAAATCCCTTTAATTAATTAATTAATTTATTTGTTTGCTTTTTGGGTCACACCCAGCGATGCACAGGGGTTCCTCCTGGGTCATGCGCTCAGGAATTACTCCTGGCGGTACTCAGGGGACCATATGGGATGCTGGGATTC